TGTGTGTGTGTGTGTGTGTGTGTGTGTGTGTGTGTGTGTGTGTGTGTGTGTGTGTAGATATCCCTGGCCTTCTTTAGTCCCTCCTTCCTGTTTCAGGCCACTCCATGAAGTCATTCTCTCCACCTGCCCCTGGATCTGCCAAAGCCAGAGGCTCTTGGAGCTTCTTGCAAGGAAAAACAAGCGCCTTCTCTTAGAAACGGTGAGTCCAGAAATTCATGTCAGGAGATGAGCTGTCCCTCTTCCCACCGTTGGCATATAGGAGGAACCTCCTGGCTCTAAACAGGCTATGAACTTATCCAACATTTCTGTACCTGATGTAGATATGATGCAGGTTTAATCTGTTCAGCACAAACTGAAAACCAGGAAGAGCCCATTAACATCTGGGCTGACTCACCTCGGCTATCCAATATCAAAACCAACTTTTAGAGGCTGAGATGAGAGGCAAAGGACTCCTTCTCTCTTGATGGAGACCAGGATTGGCCAAACAAACAAACCCTGATCCTCAGTGGAGTATGGGAGAAAAAATGTCTCCATGATTTTACAGAGCTTGACCATACCCCTGCCCGGTCTCCATTCATCCAAGGTACAGATTCCCGCATTGTCAATGTTTCTTGGTATGAAAGAAGTTTTAACTTGATGATAATTTTGATAGTCTTTTTCCACATTTCCCCCTAAATTGTTATTATGTTCCCTTTTCATGCGTGATGACCAGAACTGTACACAATATTTCACAGAAGGATGTGGCATTACAGAACTGGAAGCTTTATTTTCAATATCTTTCCAAATGTTCTCTAGAATTTGTCACAGCTGGGAAAGGAAACAGCCTGATAGCACTACTATTGGCTTCCTAGCAGGACCCAACAATATTTGGTTAATTACGGACTACCCGGCTCCCATCAGGCTGTATGTGAAGATAGGCTTTTCTGTCCCAAAAAGCCACCCATTTTACATCTATTGAAGCACATTTGCCATTTGGCTGAGCATTGACTCATCTTAAGAGATGCTTCCTCATGGCTGGTCACTGAATAGTTTGTGTCATCTCCAAATTTGGTCAGTTCATTTCTTACCCCAAGTTGAGATCACTATGAACAAGTTTAAAGGCAGTAATCCCTCCAAGCAGAAAATTGCACATTTATTCCCACTGATTTCTCTTTTTTAACCAATTAGCAACCATTAAAATGACAGACCCCTTTCCTCACAACTGTAAGTTTTGGTGAGGAAAACTTTAAGCAAAGATTGTTTAAAAGAAAAATTAGATATTCAAGAGTCAGGTGGGCACCCCCAACACGCGTCCATTGGTACTCACAGACAAACAAACAAATAAACACACAACCCCAAACCCTCCAGACAGGCAGGGTTATCTTTTGAGGAAGCCATGCTAATTTTCTGGCTCCCTTGATCATCATTTCTATCAATCTGCCTGGAACAGGCATTCAGCTGACCAGCTCATCATTTTCTGGCTCTCCCCTGGGTTTCTTTTTAAAAATGTTCAGTTGAATTGTCAAAATGGCAGCAGTGCAAGGAGGTATTGCAAACAGCCCTGCTTGGACTGGATTACATGCAGCAGGGCTCTCCAACCTTAGCAACTTTAAGACTTGTGGACTTCAACTCCCAGAATTCTGGAAGTTGAAGTCCACAAGTCTTAAAGTTGCTAAGGTTGGAGAGCCCTGACATGAAGAAATGTTCTGCCTGGTATTTGTTCCAAATTTGTGAGAGACCCTCCCTTCTGCAGACAACTGCCAAATTCCCCACCACCCTTGTGCAAATTAGTTTATTATGGTGAGGGGGGGGTGGAGGGTCAAGGAGGCTTGGGAAAAATGGTTAATATGATCCACATCATGTGTCTGGCAGCAGAAGGGATTGAAAACATTTCCCTGGAACACAATCAAGGGACCAAATTCTTCTCTCTTAAGTAGCCTGATAAAGCTTGACTTAAATATTATGCTCCAGGGAAGATCACGAATCTAACCATAACACAGAGTGGAACATTTGGAGCTGATATCCAACAAGCAGAACAAAAGAGAGGATTATAAGGCAGGACTGAAACATTTGGATATAACTACAAACACAGATAAGCTTTTAGAAGTATAAAAGATGCTTGTCTTGTAGTTACTGTATATCACCCCAACGTCAAGTGTTATTTGCCTTACTAACCTAGGTAAAGATCTCAATCAATGAGGATCATAATTGCTAAACAGAGCCTTCACCTATAAATTCAACACACCTCTCAATAATCTCTGTGTGAGAACTCAGCCTATCACTTGCTAGTGGAGACAGTTGGCCAGGATGTCCTTTGGTCTGCCCCAGCCAATCAATTATTATGTTCCCAGGGTTGCAACATAAACAGAAACAGTGTCCTGCCCCTGTCAGAATCTGATTCCGAGGGGGAGGCTGAGCAGCTGACAGGGAGTGGGAGTGTGGCTCCATTGGCTGTGGAAGAAACTGGGGAAGGGCAAAGGCCGGCTGGGCAGAGCAGGGGAGAGGTAGAGCAAGGTGGAGGGAATTCAGAGGAAGATCCAGGCCCACTCCCTCTTCATCCTAGGGCATGCAATGGAGAAGGGAGCAACGTGGATTGCATTGCTTACGGGGGAGGAAAGGGCCCTGATTCCCTTCATTAGCTACAGCTGGGAACACAGTGTTTAAAAAAGGAAGCTGCACACAGCAAAGTTGTTGGGAGCAAATTGTGAATTATCTGGTATCATCGAGGCTTATCTGGGTTCCTGGCGTCTTCCCAACTTTATGTGTTTTGTTGGCCTTTGAAGTCTGCAATTCCTTCTCCTGCCCTGTCCAGTGAACTGCTGCAGCGTGGTTTGTGTGGATTTTTATTTACAGTTTATATGTACTTTGTTTTTGGACTGAATTTCTTCCACTTAAAGACTGTTTTTGGGAGAGTTTTTTTCTCCAGCCGAAGGTAACTGGACACTGGGGGCAAAGTTGGAGGCATTAAAGGGACTTTTCTTACTCATTGCCTTTGTGCCATGCCCTGGGTCATCACAAACATTATAAATTGCTCAGGCAGCATAAAAAGTTAAAATACATAAGAAATAAATATGCATGGACACAGACTTTTTAAAAATGTGCCCACAACTGAAACGTTTGCAAGAGTTTCAAGGGGGGGGATGGACCTAACCTTCCGGGCATCAGGTTCTTGGGGAAATAATCCCCAAATGGAATGGGGATGTCACCATGGAAGTCTCGCCAGATACCCTCAGAATGAAGAAGACCAGCATATGGGACTCAATGAGAGCTGAAGGCCAGCTGGGAGTAGAACTTGGGCCCCGGCACTTTGAGCTATATGGCCCAACTTCTATCACCCCCATGAAGCTTGATTGTATTACAAGAGAAACATAAACGACTCTGCAATGTTGCCAATCTCTTTCTTCCCGAACCCACAATAATATCTTAATTTCTCTAAAAGAAGCCGAGGTAAGCAAGAGAGAAGAAAGTAAGGGAGCCCTAGTGAAAGAGGCCAGATTCATGACTTCCAACTTTGTAGTATTTCAGGACCCAAGTGAACAACACTTCTTTATTGTACTCAAGTCAAATGACAAAATGAGGCGGGGGGGGGGGGGGGGGAAAATGCAGGTCTGCTACTTGCTTTGAAAAGTTTCTTCTCCTCTGTTGACTTGCAGGGCGATGAGCCGATGGGCTTCAAAAGGCCTTGCAAAATTTCCCTTCATCGCAGATGCTTTTCCTACGAAAGAACTATAAAAGAAACGGTGAGAAAAACCTCCAGAAGGTTGCCAACGCAGAATGTCATCCCTCTAAGCTCCTTCCCAGGTTGGAGGGGCTCTGGAATCAAATTGGACACGCTGATAATTGGTCAATCTCGGCAGGTTAGGCAAGTTCTTGAGACCTTCTGCAATGCAGACATCAGAAGAAGCTTTGCCCCAGTCAAGCTCCAGGTCAACCCTTTTTACATCATCCAGAGAGGCGTTTTCTCAGCATCTGAGATTATGAGATTTTGCGGTGAGACAATCAGCAAAATCAAGGAACATTTAAATGAAAGGGTTATTGATTAGGCATGCTAATGTAAAATAGATTGACAGGCCCTGATGGTCAGTTGCCTCTTCACGTTGTACTTTATGTGACCATTTTATTTTCCTGAGTTAACAAAATGTGGTGCATATTAGTTTTTAATTATTCTAGATGTTTTGAAAATTAGCTTTTGCTCTGTGTGCCCCTTTCCTCTTTGTGATCCAATTTATTCAAACAATTATTTTCATACCTGCAATTCTTTTTGAGGCCCAAATACGGACACTCAAACCCTACATGGAACAATCTAAACTCCCCCAGGAGTTTAGGAAGAACATTGTCATGGGAAGTGTGGATGCGCTTGGGAGAATGAGGAAAAGAAATATCCAAATGATTTGGATATCATGGAATTTCTTTCTGAAGACTCATTCTACAAATGCTGTACCAAAACAGATTTTTCCATACCGTGGCCCTACACTTTATTTCCGTTTTGTAAATAAAGAATGTTGCGTGTCTTCTGCTTGGTTTGATGAGTAACAGCAGCCATCAGCCACAGAATTGCTTTTATTCATTGCCAGGTCTACTTTAATCTGGATGCTCTCCAGAGCACTGTCAAATTAATTCTGAGCAAGAATGGACACTTTAAAAGAATACAATGGTTGTTCCTCCTCCTCCTCCTCCACTTGGATTACAATCCCAAACAGGGAAGACGATGAAATTTATGAGCCAACGTACTTTCATTAGATTTTTCACTGACTGGTTTAATAGGGCTCCCACTGTACTTCCTTCTCTAAGTCACCCCTCCACCCTGAAAGAATTTGGTCAAAGGCCGTGCTTTGCCAAACTCATTTTCCTCCTCTTTGTGAAGTTGAACCCATCTCAGGCTACTTGCCCATCAATAAGCCAGGCCATCTCACGGAAACTCAGTCTCTCTTTTCAACCCCATCTCCAGAGCTGGTCTATACTTGCATCTACTCTTTCCATTTGGGACAGGGAACCAGTAGAGGCACTTATGACCCCGTCTCTAGAGAACGCCTCCTGTCTCCTGCTCCTTTCTCCATGCAGAGGTTCGGGGAGCCGCCTCAGGTTTGGGTAGTTTGAGAAGAGCAGAAGAAGTCATAGAAAGGAGACAAACCTTTAGCAACCAAAGACAAGTTTGCTTATTGTTGCTACAAAATAGAAGTACATACTTGAGTCCTCCAAATATCTTCCAGCAACCTACACAGGAGAAGTTTCGCAGATCTGATGTCAGATCTCAGCTTAGAAAAGTCGTGTGGGAATTAGGGATTGTTTTAAAGGAGGGCTCACTGGTCTCTAGCCTTCAAGGTTTTGCTATCCAGTCCAGCTCTAGAGGGACAAATACAACGCTTCCCAGTCGGTGGGTCCTGCCTAAATTATGCTTCCCTTACCAACAAAACTCAATGAATTGCTCTGTGCAAGATCCTACCTTCGCTCCACTGCTCTGACAGCTTCAGGCTTTCTTCAGCTTCTCTATTCTCATGGAATAGGTGTCTTCTTGCATTTGGAGCTTCTCGTAGATCTCAGTCTATGAAGAAGAGAGTTTGGCAACTCTGTAATCTTCTGTCTCTTTTTATCTCTTATGCATCACATCCAAAACACACTACAGACTGTACAGTGTTAGTCCACAGATTGGAAAAATGGCAAGGCTAAAAAACCCTGCAGCTTCAGTGGGACAGGGCGGCGGCAGCATCCCATAAATTCTCTCCTTCTGCGGCCATCCAAGCTCCCTTTGCCCCAAACCCAGAGCAGGGTTCAGCTCTCTTTGAACTACAGGACAGCAAATGACTCCTGGCTTCCTGGTGTTTGAACAACTCAACCTGTGCTTGCAGAACACAAGCCGGCTTCCTGGGCGCGGGGGGGGGGGGGGCAGTTGGCCTGACCTTCCTGAAATGGGAGACTACTGTAGAGATATCTTGGATAAATTTCCTGTCTTTCTCTCCCAGCCCACATTGGCAAAGCCTCGCTCCAAGAGATCTGGAGTCACCAAGTCGGTAAGGCTGATATCAATTATACTACAGGTTTGTTCTATTCTATTTCCTTTGCAGCAGAGTTTCATTTTGTGTGTGTGTGTGGGGGGTAAACCCCAATTGCATTCCGAAGACCCAACTGGAAGTGAAAATGAAACTCCAGGGGAAAAAGTGAGCCAAGTGCCAGACTCTTTTAACGAAAGCTTAATTGCTAGTAAACATCCCAGAAAGAAGTATCGGTATCAAACTCGACTGCGCTGAAATGGACCTACTCACACAAAAACTTAGGGATAAGGAAGACTCAAGATATATTACAGCTTGGGATAAATGGTATAAGTGGATTAAAGAGAAAAAACCAGGAAATTAAAAGATAAGGATTTGATGAATGGAGTGGTTAATCTAAGAACATTTACCAAAATAGGAAATGAACGGTAGTAAAATTGTTATCAATAAAAAAAATCACACCATCTTAGTTGATTAAAAACATATGTGTTTTTTATGTTTATTTATTACATATTTGTATATATAGATTTTGTCTGCAACATAAAGTTGTATTCTATGAATTGTACATAGTGTTCTTTTTAATCTTTAATAAAGTTCTTTTAAAAAAGAAGAAGCATCAGAACGCAGAGCTTAATTTCACTGTGATGCTTCCGGAGCTTTGTGGCCTAAAAATGGTCAGGGCTGCCTGCGCAGGCAGAGAGGGCACCTGGGGTGGGGAGAAGGGGGCTCCTGGCCTCAGAAAGGGGGCTCTCCAATTCCCCACTATCTGGTGGCCTTCTGGAAGCCATTCTTCCCTGCAAGGAGTTACACAGCTGCTTAATCCAAAGGAACATATGGAGGAAAACTGCAAAAAGCATGTCCATTAAGGAAAATTACAAACAAAATAATGTTTCTTTTGGAGGAATGTGCACAAACCCACAAATTGCACTGTAAGCTTAACAAATATTCTTGAACTTCTGTGGGAATAGGTTAAATGGAATTTACAAATGGAAAATATGAGAAAACTGCAAGGAAGGCATTTGCCCGGCCGTAGTGGCAGGTTAGCAAAAGCAGCAACGACCCTTGCACAGAATGTAAACTTTCCCAGGATTCTTTAATGCCCCCATTTAATCACTCTTAAATATTTCAGCTCTCCCAAGTGGGAAAGGCTCTGAGCACTAAGTTTTGCTTGTTTTATTTTTCTTTTCATTTATTTTTATTGTTAAACAGCTCAATTTGCAATAAAAGGCAGAGTAAAAGGGGACTAAACTGGCATTCTTTCCCTGCCAGAAGTAGCATTTTCATGGGGCTGTTAACAGGTTATTCCACATGGATGTCCAGATATAATCCACAAGATGTATCAGAACAGCCAAACTCTGCAAAAACGAAATGTTAATTGAATGGAAACGATCTCTGCGCTGACCGCTTACTTGCGGGCAGTCCCTAGGCCAGGACCCCGGCCTAAGAGGGCATGCAGAGGCAGGGGGAAGGCAGAGGAGACCCTCTGCTGTATCCCACTTACTGCCCCTTCCCATTGGGATTGTCCCCTAAAGGGACGCGCTGGCTCAGACGGAGGAACGATCTGCAAAGGGCTCCTTTGCTGTCTCAGCGGCATACAGCGTGGGCTTCTGTGCTGACGCCATTGCCCAGGCGTTCTTCAATTCCCTCTCTGGGGGAACCAGACTCACGTCTGGGAAGAGCAGCCCACCGGTTGTGCTGTGGTCAACCATGCTCAGTTCATCCAGGCAAAGACATCCCGCTGTGGCACCCAGCATGAAAGCAGAATTAAGTCCATCTGCTTCCTGCAGCCGTACCTGAATGTTGCTGATGAGCTCGTTGGTGAGCTGGCCCAGGAGCAAGCGGACGTCCCCGACGGTGTAGCCCATCAAAGGGTCCACGGTCCCTTGTTCTTCGGCTGGCGCTTCTGCAAGAACGCGTTCTGGTTCCTAAAAGAGGACAGGAAAATGCTCACCAAGCGACCCCCCCCCCCCATCACAAGGGCAAATGGCCTGCTAGAGCAGATGGAGTCACTTGTGGCCACAGAAAGGGGAAGCTGAAGACCCCCATCCTTTCCCACCAAGATGCCCAGTCTTCTTCGCAGGTTTCCTGCTGTCACTCATGGCAGGAAATTCTCTACCTTTGTCCAGTCTTCGGCACAAGCAGGAAAAATGAGAGAGACAGACAGACAGAGAGAGACAGACAGACAGACAAGAGACGGGGGAGGG